TGTTGTACTGGGGGTGCATTGTGACATTTACAAAAGTTCTTTTTTTTTTTTTCTTTTATTATTCATATGTCTGCTGTCTTACATTGAACAAGCTGTCACTGAGCTCAGATTCTAGAGGATAGAGGCCTCCAGCTCTACGAGAGGGAGGAGTGTTAAAGAAATTTGGAGCCATATTTTCAAACCGGAGATAAGGGAATTTGACTAAATTATTCTTACTTGGTAAGGCTGATTTGCTCCAAGTGGGAAATAGTGTTAGCATTTTTGGTTAGTAATATTATTCTCATTCAGATACTGTTGTTTAGTACAAATATTTAAAAATACTTATTATTTAAGACTTTTGGAAAAAATTCCCCCATGTAATAATGTGAACATCTTGCTTTGAGGTCACTGTAAACATTTGAGGCAGGTGGGACAGGGAGGAAAGTAACAATATTTCACAAGTTCCCGGTGTTTGCTCAGAGCAGTGTTTCTTTTGTAAGAAACATTTTATCATTTTTAAAAAATTTCTTTTATTCATCTGTGCATACAATGTTTGGGTCATTTCCCCCCCCCCCCATTTTATCATTTTAAAATAAATTTAGTGAACCTATTTTTGGTGGTCATTTTTTAAAGACAGTTTTCAAATGGCTAAATTTTCCAACCCATCGCTAAACACTAAGTTTGATTTTCAGGTTCTCTGTTAGATGTAAATGCATCTCTTGCATATAGGCAAAGTATACTGGTGATTTCTTGATGGTTTGAAAGTCCATTGCTTGAGAAGAAATTCCATCATATACATACATATAATATGGGAGTCTTTTGTTTGTTTGCTTTTGCAGATGCTTGCCCCTACTTTTCAAAAGTTTTCTGTGTTGGTTGTAAAAAACCAAGGTGGGGAGTAATATTACAAGTTGAATAGTAGTATGAATATATACCAGAAGTCTGATTGGCAACAAGTTTTATTGATGAGATTAACATTTGGTTGTAGAGGGGCTGATGCTGAATAAAATCTGATTATTTTTGTTAGATAATTTCTTACCTGTAGACTTAAACTGTCATTTAGTGTCTATTAGTTAAACTTTGTTAAAATATATACATACTTGTTTTTCCCTTCTTTGCAAATTGAAAGGAAAAGATGTATTATTTCTCTGTTGAATGTTGGATTATGTAGGAAATGTTTGTGAACAATTAAAAACAAAAAACAGTTCCTGTGGATGTTTTATATAGTATTTTGGCATTTGTATTGATAGTTTAAAATTCACTTCCAAATAAAACTCCCATGATGCTAGATTTGATGTGTACCCAATTTGAAAAAGGGTTGATTGGCACCTATAAAATCATTCCTCATGTGAGGAAATATAGTAATCTTAAAATAAATTAAAAAAATACATTTTGAAAAGTATGTTTTGAGGCTTCTAAAACAATCCACCAGTATTTGTAAGATCTATGTTAAGAAATCTAGAAAACTCTGATAAAGGAAATCAAAGAAGATCCTAATACATGTATATGGGTAAGGAGGCACAAAAATCATGATCCATGAAAGAAAAAAATGAGTAAGTTGTACTTCACTTAAAATTAGGAGCTTCTACTCTGTGAAACAAACTGTTAAGAGAATGAAAAGAGATGCCACAGACGGGGAAAAATATTTATAAAACACATATCTGATAAACGATAGTATTTATAATATACAAAGAACTCTTAAAAACCTCCTGGTTTGAGAGCTATATGTGGTAGTATGGGCCTGTAATTCTAGCACTTGGGAGACTAAAGCAGCAGGATTGTGAGTTCAAGACCAGCCTGGGCTACATACATAGTGAGATTGAGGCTAGCCTAGATTACATAGCAAGACCTGTTTCAAAAATCTCCTTCCCTAGGACCAGGAACTAGAGAAAAGGTTAGATCAAAAAGAATTAACCTAGAAGGTAACACCCATGCACAGGAAATCAATGTGAGTCAATGCCCTGTATAGCTATCCTTATCTCAACCAGCAAAAACCCTTGTTCCTTCCTATTATTGCTTATACTCTCTCTACAACAAAATTAGAGATAAGGGCAAAATAGTTTCTGCTGGGTATTGAGGGGGGGGGAGCGGGAGGGGGTGGAGTGGGTGGTAAGGGAGGGGGTGGGGGCAGGGGGGAGAAATGAACCAAGCCTTGTATGCACATATGAATAATAAAAGAAAAAAAAAAAAAAACTCCTTCCCTAAAAAAAAAAAAAGCTAGAAAATGGACAATGGGCTATGGACCTATTATCCCAGCACCCAGGAAACTGAGGCCATCAAATGCTGGCAAGTCTCATTCATTGCTAGTTGGAATGCAGAATGGTACAGGCACTTTGGAAAACAAATGACAGTTTCTTACAAAGCTAAAACAGATTCTTAACATAAGATCAACAGTTGTGTGCCGGTATTTGCCCAAATTAACTGATTTATGTCTACACAAAAGCATACACATGAATGTTTTAGGGAAATAACTCAAAGGTCCATCATTGAATGAATAGATAAAGAAACTAGTGTACATACATATTTTTCAAAGTTGTAACTGCATAGATTTTTAAAGAACTATTTCATGAGCTACATGATTATTACATAACATTTTCACAGATGATTATTAAAACAAACTCTACCGAATTGCACTTACTAGGCCCACAGACTTTCTTTGCTGGAAGAAACTTTAGAACATCAAGTTCCTCATTTTACAAATTGATAAAGAGTGAAATTTAGAGAGAAGTTAAGGGATTTGCTCATAAATAGGTAGTAAATTGTAAAACTAGGGTTAGAAGTCAGATCTTTTGATATTATAGGGAACTTACACAGAAAAGCTAAATATAATAAATTACTTGTACACTTTAATAGTGACTATTGATAATACAATCATGGCCCCTCAGCTTATCCTTTGGGCTCAAAATTAAGATAAAATAGTTTAGATACCTGGAGGAAATGTGAAGAGACCAATTAACAAAACAAACTGGTGAACAGAAATAAAGGCAAACTCATGAAGTGTTTCTAAGTTTCTCAAAAATAGGTACTAAAAAGTAGAGTAAATGATTTATTTTCTGATAATTACACATTACTCAATTCTGCAAGTATATGTCCCAAGTGTTGGGACATATTGTCCAGGAAAAGTATGATTATTAATATTTTGGCTGTTTTTGCTTTTGACTATTTTAGATAGTGCTGTTATGAACACTGGTGTATGAATATCTCTTCAAGTGCCTGATTTCACTTCTTTTAGGTATTTACCCTAAAAAAATACTGGAATGGTTGAGTTACGTGGTACTTTAATTTTTTTGAAAAACATCAAGCTATTTTGCACAGTGCCTGTACCATTTTATATTCCCACAAAAGTTCCAATGTTTCTATATTCCTATCAACACATGTATTCTGTTTTTTTCCTATAATCATCCTAAAGAGTGTGAAATAGTGTTTCATTGAGTTTTGATTTTTATTTCCCTAATTCTTAGTAATGTTGAACATCTTTTTATGTGCTTATTGACATCTATGAATCTCTTTCTGGATAGATGTCCTTTTCTTGTTTTTACTTATTTGTTTATTTTTTGTTGCCATAATTGAATTACTTGAATTCCAGTTGAATTACCTCCTACTTACTCATTTGTGGAAACTTTCTTACTTATTTTGGATATTGGCCCCTTGCTATTTTATGTTATAAATATTTCTCCTTCTTTACTATCGTTCTGATACATCATTTACAGTGTAATTGATTTAAAAGGTCATATATATATATATATATGTGTGTGTGTATATCTTGAAAGTATAATTGTGTGTGGGGGTAGTGGGGATCCAATCCTGGGCCTCATACATGCTAGGCAAGTGCACTACCACTTAACTACATCCTGTCTTAGGTATAATAATTATTGTGCTCATAACTGACTCTGCCTCTCTATTACCACTTAAGTATATAGAATTGGAGAAAATATTTTTTTCCGCACATGACATTTAATTCCTTTATTAATTGCCCCTTGTTTGGGGGGTAGTTACCTAGTACACAACTTAGTATAACCTACACAAACACATTATGTGTGCTCTTTTACCTAAGCAATTTTTTCTTAAGCAAATTATATGAATATATTATTTTAAACAAAAATTAGAATCCCTATTTGTGACCTCTGCAATGTAGCAAATCTTAAAAGTGTTCTCTTACATAATTTTTAATTGTGACTTTGAATGTTTGGTAGGACTTACCAAAGATTTTGTCACCTTTTACATGCAGCTTGACAAAAATATGATATTTTCATCCATATAAAAATATAAGATAGTTATATATCTGATTGCAAAAGATATTATGAAGCTTGAGTCCTATAATCAGTTGGAGATTTTCTAAAATTATTAAAGGATGTATACATGAATTGATGATGTGTAAATGAAATAAAAAGCCTAAAACTTGAGGTAATTTCTGTGTGGTGAAATGGAAAGATGCTCACATAGAGGAGTTAGATTCTCTGCCCATTTTACTTCCAACTTAATATTTCTATCTTAACCATTCAGACCTTATTCAGTTTTATAAACAGGATAAAGACTAAACTAAAAGCAATTAAAATAACCATACAAATCATTTTTATTTAAACTACTTTTGGCTTGAGCTTGGATTAAAGAAACTTTTTTTCTTTTAATTGAGATTTTGTCTCCCCCTTTCTGATGCCATCGTTTTGGAATCAGCATTCCAGAACAGTTGATACAATTTTACATGTTTTTGCCTGATCATGACAAACCAGCCACTGTACCCTCAGAGAGAGCATACAGTATTTATCACTGGTGGCCTTTCTATGAGAAGAGAGCCTGTAGACTGCTATAAAGTGCTGCCTGTTGAGAACATTAAATGACTCTGCCAAAAACTCAGCAGACAGAGCTAATTGGGAAGAAAAAGGACTTTTGTGTCCTCTGTTTCCTTTCTTTTTTATTTTTAATAAGACAGATATTGTTAAAGTAGCCTGTTTATGTTAGATTTGTCTGCTTCTCTTTTACATTGCATGGATCATTTTTTAACTTAACGTCTTGCCCCGCAGGTTGTTGAGCACATCCACATGGAGGTTGGCACAGGACCAAACTCGAGACACACAAGTTATAACAGTTGATGAAAAATTGGTAAGGATTTTCTATTGTATGCTGCTATGATTCTGCCTTCAGGGATATTTTTGTATAATAGATATTCAGTACAGCAGTCTGACTTCTTCTAGGAAATGTTTTAAGTTTCTAGGTTATATACAAACCTTAAATGTTTTCACAAAAGAATAGAGATAATTTGTGTTGGCTATTATGCAAATATTGTCATATATAAATATTAAGAAATTAAAGTTATGAAGAACTTCTATTTTTGTGAAACACTTTTAACTGGAACACTTTTATTTTTGTAATGATTTTTTTTTTTTAATTTTCTCAGTTACACTGCTATTTAAGCTGTAAGAAACTTACCAGTAACTATCTAAAATTAAGTACCTTGGGTTTTCCTGGAACCATGCAATATTGCTGTTACTATGTATATGTGTGTATGTGTTTAAAGGCACACACACACTGTCTGTGTGCATATGAGAGTTAAATTAAAATGAACAGTAAATGAGTCTTTTTTTCGGTATTTATACTCATATGTGCAATAGCATAAATTTTTTTGATGTTTCCAGGACATCTGACAGAAATGTATAATCATTTTTATATCTAGTATACTATTATCAAATATACGGGATTGTTACTTAACTAGTCCTTTTCTAGACAAGCAGTCTACCACGGAACCACACCCTAGCACTACTTCTCTTGTAATGGTATAGTCTTTTATTACTCAATAAGTGCAATCTAAATAATAGTCATACTTAAACATCTGTTTGTGCCATTAAAGATATAGGTGGATAAATAAATAAGAAAGTGCGCAGATAGAAAAACAGAGAACTCGTGTCTTATGTCTCAAGGTGACTGTTTTAGCTTCACATTATCTCTTAGGCCTATCTTATGACATTGCCGTCAATCCTGGTCTAAACTACATTATGTTTAATAAAGATTGCTGCAGTAGTCTCATAATTGATCTCCCCATGCACTTTAATCTTCCTCTGATTTATTTTTCCCTGGATAGCCAGAATAGTTGTTTTAAAATGCTGGTTTTGTCACCCTCTTATAAAATCCTTTAGTGCTTCCCTATTGCCCTCAGAGTAAACATTAAGATCCTAACATGGCCTTTGAGGTCTTCCATGATTGAGCTCTTGCCTTTCTCTATAGGTTTATTGTACAGCACTGTCCAGTATATACACTTTTATACAGTGTTCTGTGCTCCAGCCACACCAACCCTAGAACTTGCCTCAGAGTTCCTGTTCACGTTATCTAGATGCTGTTTACCAACTTCTAGGTCTTCATATAGTCACCATCTATTTATTCTTCAAATGGTAGACACTACTTGCTTAGTCAAGTGTAAAAGAAATGAGAGCATTGTGTGTGAGTAATAAGAATTTTACATCTCATGTGTGTACTAGTCAGTTAAGGTACTATTATTTTAATATTTCCTATGACCATCTCTTTTAAACCCCAAGAGATTGACTTATTGTTCCAGTATTAAGATTTACACTCTATAAAGTTCTCACATTTTACAGAATTCATTAATAATGCTTCTTAGGTCTCTTTTGATAGTTTAAAGAATGAGTGAGTCAGCCAGTAAACATACTGTTCTAAAGAAAGTGCTATGAAATATAACAGAAAATTATAAAGAGTAGGAGTGGTTTAGTGTTGTTTTTAATTATCATATAATCAGTTATGTACCTTTAGATTTTTGTTGTTCTTTATAGATTTTCTATAGCATTGTTATTTTACTTGATATTAGTCAAAACAGTATGTTATTGTAGCTGAAATAAATTAAGGTTCCGTATGTGATTATGAGGAACAGTTTTAATGCTTACTTATAGTTATATCTAGTTTTTGAAGATGGGTCTTAGGAATGCAAAACTAGAGAATAACTTTATATGTTACCTACTAATGTTACCAAAACCACTTATTTTTGTTTTAAAAACCTTTTGCTCCAGAGAAATCTTACACAAGAATGTAATAAGTAATAAAATAAATGAAAGCTGAACTGCTAGAGGGTAAGGGTTGGGAACAGGACATGCCAGAGGACTTGTAAGTCCTATTGTAGGCTTCTGAGGGGACTTCATGAAGTGAGATTTGGAAACATAGTTTAATCTTCTGTCCTTTAAAAAAAAGAAATTAGACTGAACAGCTAGTTCGCCAACTTTGGCTTTAAACATTTCCAGGTTACTGACTTTCATTTCTTTGTGAGCCTACTCTTCATAATATTGATCATCCATAATTATTAGAAAGCTGTTTCTTTGGAGAGATAATAGTCTTCAGCATAATGATGATGGAATGATTGTAAAGTTATATGCAGAAAAATACTCCTCATCTGTACCTGTGCTATATGCATAATTTAACTCTCATGCTCTAAATATAAACTCATAGTCCTAAATTTGAGTCTAAAAAATATAAAGTTTCTAGGAGAAAAATCCTTGTAACTTGAGTTAGACAAGTATTTTAACACCAAAAGTTTTATAAATTTTTTAAAAATTTAAAAATTGGGGATAGAAGCATCTATTTATTCTGGTGATGATGCATGCCTATAATCATAGCTACTTGGTAGGCAGAGATAGAATAGTGATTTGAGGTCAGCCTGGGCAAAATTTATGTAGACCACTAAGCTGGCATGATGGTGCATGCCTGTAATCCTGACTATTCTGGAGGTAAAGGTAGGAGGATTGTGGTCTAAGACTGGTCTGGCCAAAAGTGGAAGACCTTATCTGAAAATAAACTAAAAACAAAAGGACTAAAGTCAAGTGGCCCTGCATTCAGTCCCCAGTACTGCCAAATACACACACACACACACACACACACACACACACACACACACACGCATGCACGCACGCACGCGCGCGCACGCAAAATATGGCCTAACTCGTAATTAACGACTTCTGCTCTTTGGAACTCATTGCTAGGAGAAGGAAAAGAAGTCACAGATTGAGATAACTTATTTGCAAAATGTATCTGATGAAGGAGTTACCTCCAGAAAATATAAACAGTACTTATAAAAGAAGCCAGCCTTAAGAGGGTACAATCTGTATGTATGTATTTGACATTCCAGAAGAGGCGAAATTCTAGGAATACAATATTGCTCAGTGGTTGGTCAAGCTGGATGTAGGTCAGGAGGGGTTAGTTGTAAAGGGACATAAGGAAATTTTGCTGAGTGTTATGTTTTTGATTGAGGTAATTCTTTTGCCAAAACCCATATTCGTGTTAAGAAAAATCACACCACAGAACTGTAAAAAGCGAACTTTCCTGTTCATATTGTGTCAATTTTAAAAGAGGGATAAAAGTCATTTCTTAATTTTGATGTTAATTTTTTTTTAACACTATCCATGAATTTTGCTGTTTTCCTCATGACAGTTTTGAGTATAATGAATTTGAAACCAACTCTTTGGTTCCTTGTGTTGATTATTAAAGGATGGTCTACAGAGGTGCCTAAGACATTTCTAGGAGGTCCACAAAGTCAAACTATTTTCATAATTAATATTGTCTTCATTTGTCCTTCTCACTGTGTTGACGTTTACACTGATGGTACAAAATAGTCATGGTAAAACTGTTGGCACCTTAGCACAAATCAAGGCAGTGATTTATTAGTCATACTTCTCTTCCTTTGAAGTCAAGGTTAAAATTAAAAAAAAAAAAAACCCTGGTTTTATTTGGTGAAGCAATTAATATTTTTAATTAAAGAAATCTGAACCCTGTGTAAATCTTTTTATATTCTTTGTAGCAAAACAGAAGTATGCATAAAACACTTCTGCTACATACCAGCATACAGTGTATTAAGGAAAAAATCTTTGTATGCTTTATAGTAGGTGTTGCAAACTGAATTAGCCACTTTTTTCATGGTACAATTTTTAATTGAAAAAGTAACATGATAAACTGCAGTTATTCAATCTTTAGTACATGGCAGACATTTTCTCAAAAAATGAACCTACCACTTCAAGGAAATATTGCCTGTGGTAAACTTCAAGCTTTCAAGTGAAAATGAGAATTTTTGTAGAACTTGATACAGCCACTGATTTGATTGAGTTTGAAACTTTCTTAGTTAAAGACTGTTAAAGACTATTGTAATGGGATTGGAGCTAACATTAACAAATGTGGTATATTTTTTTTGAGATCAGTAATAAAATATGTTAACACTTAGAAAATGTACATATCTCTCTAAACAGTATTTTCTATATGACCAACGCATGGGTAAAAGTTTTATTTAAAGTGCAAGATAGAACATAGAACAATGAACTTTTTTTTTTTTTTTTGCGGTGCTAGCAATTGAATCCAGGACCTTGCACCTGGTAGGCCAGTGCTGTACTACTGAGCTACATCCCCAGCTCAACAAATGAACTTCAACCACATATGAAAGTATTCAAACTATTAAAGTTTTGCTTTTTCTAACTAGATGTCTGTATTTTGATATATTTTCCTCATTTATTGCACTCAAAATAACCTAGCACAATAGTTTGCACGAACAGATGTTATAATTCATTTGTCTTCTACGAAGCTAGACATTAGAGGTTTTAAAGCTGCAAATTTGTGATACTCTTCTCACTTGAGTTTTTAGCTTTTGTAAATATATTTTGCATTAAAATACTGTTTATATTAATATAATAGGCTTAGTATCTTAAGGATGTTTAATTTTTCCTTTATTTGAATTTATTATATAGTAAATATCTATTTATCTCATGTAAACAAAACCTTGTTTTGTAACTTTTAAGAGTGTAAAGGAGTCTTAAGACAAAAAACTAATATTCTCTTAAGTCTCCTCTTTTCTGGACTAAACATCCCAGGCCTTTGATTTATTTCACATGAGTTTCAGGTAATTTATCGTCTTGATTTCCTTCCATTTTCACTGAATCTCTTTAAAATGTTGTTGCCAGGATTCCTCATGCTATTGCAGATGTGGTGCAGGGTATGTGCAGTATGAATTATTGCCTCTATTCCTTTTAATCACCTCACTTAAAATTTAGGCTTATTCTTACATGGATTTCATGCAGAGCTAAAATCTTAGATAACTTTCTGTGTGTACTGTTATCAAGTCA